CAACTTCCTTGTGAAGCTGTTTTGCACACTTTCAATCTTGTTAACGATTTTACGTTTATGAAGGTTGAAAATAGGGGTTCCATACTCAAGCAAAGGTCTTACGTACGTATTATAGACTCTGAGTAGAACAGCAGGATTTTTTGTTGTGAGTGCTCGAAAGACATTATGTAGTTTTTGGTGTCCATAAGAAAATTTGGGAATCTCACTGAAAAACGAAACCCACGGTGCTTCCCCATTACTCACCGTCGCCTTTTCAAGACACTGCAACAGGTGGTGATGTTGTATCTCGAAGATATCCTCGTCCCGTAGCGCATCGAATGTTAGCAGACCTGAAATATCAAATAACACGCATAGTACACAGTTTCCAATGGCTTAACAGTCTCATTAAGCGTCTGCAACGCGGGACAACTCATCCAAAGGGACAATTTATCGAGCAAATAGCCAAAGTGTACCTTGCTCAAACGCCTGCATCCTCGCCTCGTGCGCCTTTTTCTTGTTGAACAGTGCTTGACCCGACGCGTTTTTCACTATTCGAATACGTGCCAGCCGCGCTTTCTGCAAGAGTGCACAGTGTAAGAGGACAACTAGCACTTGAATAACAACACTGGAAGAAGTAGCTGACTGACTTTCTGTGCTCGCCGCTTATCAGCACGCTGGTTTTGATGGTAGATCCGCGAGAAGTTGCTGACGATGACTGGCACAGGCAACGCGATCACCAGCACACCGGACAGTGAGCAGATACCACCGACGATCTTACCCATTACGGTAGATGGCACCATGTCACCGTAACCGAGTGTTGTCAGCTGGAATTGAAACAATTAGTGGGGAATGAATTTTCAGGGAGTTGTTTTTATCAGGTTGTTGCGAAAATAATTGCCGTTTTGGGGTACTCTCAACTAAATCTTTCTCTTCGTCCAATTTGAGCAACTTCAGCCTGACTATCTTCTAGAGTTTTCATTCCTCTTCCAAATGCTGGTTAAACATTCTGGCTAGCTCCTTCCTGAGGATTTTTATGAAGTCGCGAACAAATAATGAGCCAACGCGATTTTCGAGTGATTATGTTTGATGACTTCAAACTCGATCACACTTCATCGGAGGGATGCGGTAATCTTATATTTGTTTTAGCTTGGAATCATCTTCCCAATGAACAGCAAGCTGGAAATTTGCGAAGTTCTCTTTTTACGATTTTAAACTCAAATATAATCATGATAGTAGTCGCGGGATGTCGCTAAACGATCAGGCGTTGAGGACAGCCGTGGAACCTAAACCGGATCCTACTATCCCGACGATAAGAGTAGAGGTGGGCGCTCACTATACTACAGTTTCAATGCATCTCACTTCAATCAACAGGGTAAGAAAGGTGCGGACGTGAACACCACACGATCTGACAGGTGACCAACATCTTACCTGGCGTGACATCTTTTCTCACTTAATTTTTCGTCCCAAAACGACTAATTTCTAGACCATACAAGTACTGTGGGTAAAGCTCGGTTTCTGTACTACAACAGAAAATGCAAATGGGTATGAGTGGAGATGACTTCCCACTTCCACTTTTCCCAAACCAGATCTTCTCTATAGGGAGGTTGTGTCAGGAGTTTGGTGGTGCTGCAAAGGTATGATTGAATGAACTCTTCTATAACCTAGTCAAACGTTGAAAGCAGAGTCCTATTATTGTAATTTCGAACTGAGATCCGCAAATTTGCTATAGATGTTGTCGGTAGTGGTGAACAAAAGCTGGTTTTCCCCTGCTCCAAGGTAGCGCTAAGCCACACATTCCAAAACGCATCCGGCAAAAACTGATGCAGTAAAGCATCGAGGTTCTCACTTAACGCCCTTATTCCACAGACCAGTTCTCTACTGTGTATCGTTTTTCCGAGCTCCAGAGACAATCCTGGGACAGCAGCAGATTGCTGATCTGGAGCATGCTGAAATCGCCTTTCAAAAGTTTGCGAATTCTTGTGATCTCAATTTTTGTTGTAGGGGGGTGCAATACTCACTGCATTGTCGGGGAGGATCTACCGAATTGAATGGTTGCTGAATTGTTGAAAAGGATTGTGATT